TTTTTTTTTTGTAACCTTGGCCAGATCTGTGCCTTGCCACAATTCTGTCTGAGCTCTTCAGGCAGTTCCTTTGACCTCATGACTCTCATTTGCTCTGACATGCACTGTGAGCTGTAGGGTCTTATGTAGACAGGTGTGTGGCTTTCCTAATCACGTCCAATCAGTATAATCAAACACAGTTGGACTCAAATGAAGGTGTAGAACCATCTCAGGGATGATCAGAAGAAATGGACAGCGCCTAAGTTAAATATATGAGTGTCACAGCAAAGGGTCTGAATACTTATGACCATGTGATATTTCAGTTTTTCTTTTTTAATAAATCTGCAAAAATGTCAAAAATTCTGTGTTTTTCTGTCAATATGGGGTGCTGGGTGTACATTAATGAGGAAAAAAATGAACTTAAATGATTTTAGCATATGGCTGCAATATAACAAAGAGTGGAAAATGTAAGGGGGTCTGAATACTTTCCGTACCCACTGTAAATGTTTGTAATGCATTTATGGATAATGATTAAGAGTTATACTACATTCAGTCAAGTCTGCAAAATGACTGCAACATATTTGGACCAAAATCAATTTACTGATGACTTGAGAATATTGTGCATTTATGAATATTTATATGCAGTAAAGCCAAAGCCTGTTTAGGGTACCAATTTGTTGCATCTTGCCCATAAGGAAATTGTTAGGTAATTTCTTAGTTAGATAGATATTGATTAGAGATCTGTTGTATTAGAAAATGTTAGTGTAGCCAGGATGTCTTGCTCAGGCTGTTAAATGCTCAGTTCATTGTCATGAGTTCTGCAGGCTGCATCTAGGGCAAGGTCAGCTAGATTGCAGAGTCTGCAGGCAGGATGGATATTGCTAGTAGCATGATATGCTCAGCCGTAATCTTAATCATAACATTTTCCCAGGCTTACTGTTCGGACATGTCCCTGAATGTCCTGTATGTTTTTAGATACACACCACATAATCAACATTCACACACATTATTTTCTTCATGTTTTGACTACTGCTCTGCTCAGCTGCCAAGCTGGCATATCAGGTGGCGTCACGGTTTGACGTTGCCTGTGTAGGATGGGGCTAGCCCAACGAAGTGATTAAATTGTATAGAGATCTTGGGTTCGGGGTCCTTCTTCTTCCGGGCTGCCTGCGCACAGTTTTGGGGGTGGAAGATGCCTGGACGTGTAATGTTAATTCTTGCCTGTGACCCTTTGAATTAACCAGCACGGTTATATTTTTTTATATACTCAAGTGGTCCGCTTCGTCTCACTGAGTTCCTGGTTTGAAAGAACCGGACGTGGCTTTATAATAGAAAAAAGCCTTTAAAATCCAAACTGTTTCTTGAAGTGTTTAAAAGAATAATTAATCCAAGAAAATGCTTGTTATTTACATGACAAAACTCACCCGAAGTCAAACAAAGCAACAATCTCACGTATATATCTCTGCTGTTTCACAAATTATTGGCAGTTCACTCATTATCTAGCCTCAGCCATATTGATCAAAAGTTATCAGACCCACCTATCTCATTTAGTTCCATCTATACCGTTTCTGGAAATATTGATAAAACCAGGTGATTGTTATAGATCCAAAGAAAGCATAAAAATTGGACCAAATGAGCTGAAGTCTGGCCTGTGCAGCCATGACCTGAAGCTGACACAGCCACATATGTGGCAGAATGCACATATGCAATGCTTTCTTCTATAGAGAGACAAGGCAGCCTTCTAGAAGAAGAATGATGCTGCATGTAACTAATAACTGAGGAATTTGCCTTCCTGTCACAGGTATGGTTTCAGAACCGCAGAGCCAAGTGGAGGAAGAGAGAGAAATGTTGGGGGCGTAGCACTGTGATGGCTGAGTATGGCCTGTATGGAGCTATGGTGAGGCATTCAATCCCCCTGCCAGAGTCCATCCTCAAGTCTGCCAAGGATGGCATCATGGAGTCCTGTGCCCCCTGGCTGCTCGGTGAGGCTGATATCGTACTGTTTCTTCACACATTTTTAGTATCATTGCCTCATTTTGTTCCTGAATGTTCCTAATAGGTGTGTAAGAGTAGATTTACTACATGATTCAGTTGTAATACCATCAGTATTTTTTATGTGGTGGTTTGAAAGTAATTAATGCTTAATCATAATGCAACATTAGAGTGTTACTCTGCGGTAGTGACTGATTGTATATCCAGGCAATAATACCTCATGGTAAATATTCCTTTTTTGCCAGGCATGGCCATTTTAAGAAAAACTTCTTTCCAAATACAAAAAGATGGGACCTAGCCTTTGAATTACATTAAATATTTTACATGCATTGTCATTGTCTATTCAGACACAATATTCTAAACCAAAATTATTTTTGCTTGCTATTTTCAGTCCAAGATGGCTTACCAATCAACAGACGCTATTCTAAATCTGAATACCCGCAACTCTTTGCAGGGATGCACAAAAAGTCCATGGAGGCAGCAGCCACCCTGCCCACAGGAAAGTGTGATGCGCCCCAGCAGCTGAGCTCTCAGAGGGCAGAAGATACTGAGGCAGAGGAGAAGAGGTCAGATGGCAAGCCCACCATTTCTAAAGAGGAACTGAGAGAGAACAGCATTGCTGCACTCAGGGCCAAGGCACAGGAGCACAGTGCCAAAGTGCTGGGGACAATTTCTCATGACAGACTGCTGGAGGGCAAACAGGAGAGACAGGCGGCCGAGGAGAAAGCCAGTGACCCTCTGAGTCCGGCAGAGGAGGAGAAAAGTCCATAGAGACTGAGGACCGTTACTCTCATGAGTTCAATGCCTTGGCCTGGCTGCTTTAATTATGTGTACTGTATGGACTCACCCAGCATAGCTCTCTCCTGCAGGTTTCCATCCATCATCTTTAAACTGTCCGTCACTTGGACTGCTTCTAGAATCAAACTCTTTTGACCATTGCTGGCTCCCTGCTGCACAGAAGATGCAAATGCACTTTTTCTTATTTACTTCCAAATTTACATAAACTTAGAGGGCCTTCAGACAGAGTCCCTAATACCTAACGCCTAACCCAGACTGAGTAAAATGCAATTCCCTGCTGGGGCTGCGTTGATTGGGGGATGAGGGGTTGCTGGGGGATTGTTGTAGGCGTGTATGATACAGCCACGTTGTGATGAGTGGAAGTGAGTGGCTTCATTCACTTTTTCACCCCGCGGGTTTTTGTTATGTTCTGGTTAGTCATGCTGCTAACGTAGCCTACTCTACCTTAGTATCAGTTTCTACCACCAGTGTGTTAGCACTGATAGATAGAAAACACCGTTTAACATCCAGTACCCTAACTAACAAAGACTCATGGTGTCATTATGGTGTATTAGCTGTGGCCCCAATTTGAAAGTGAATAGCAATGAATGCTCATGCTAACAAAGTAAACAAAAGAGTCTTGTTCCCATGAATGTCCACATTACGACTGTCAACACAGCACCTTTGTCAAATGATGTCACTGTTCGGTGCGGCAACAGTTGAACCAGATTAAACTTTTTCACTACACATGGTTGCCCCCTGCGGTGCTGGTGCCAGCTGCAGTGAACATAGTCCCCATAGAAGTGAATGGAGAGGGCTGCTTTTTTCACACCTTTGAAACTCAGAACATGGGCTTACAGTTGTTGCTTACCCCATGGCAGAGAAGACTGGGCTAAGCGGGAGTCGAGTGTAAATATCAGTGTATATAGAGAGCCAGATGAGTCAAATTTTATCCATACAGTTATAATAAGTCAGTTAGGACTACCAATGAGCAGTCAGTTTCTGAGGTTTACATCTTATTCCTTATGTTCAGTTTAATGTTGTGCGGTTATTAAATAGTGACATTTGAATTAAGAACCATCCCACCGACAGTCCTCTTCTAAGAGAAAGAAATTGTCAGACATCACGCTGTATATAACTGATATGTTAATCCCTCTCAGTAAGGCACAATTTAAAATATGTTTTCTTGTAGTCCTAAAAATGTTTGCATTTTCATTCCAAAATATGTATAACTCAAAATAAAAGGTATAAAGTACCTTTTATTAAACATGGCTTTGTGGTGTCTATTCTTTCCAGTTTCCTTTTGAAGAAATGATATAAACCTGTAACAAGTGATTTAATTGTCATAGAATTACTGTAACTCTTAACCAGCATGAAGTTGGCCTAGTTGTTGGAGTAGCTACTTGTTGTCACTTGATGCTCTGCTGGCTGGGCTCATTAGGAGACAGTCCCTAGCTGCATGCTTCGGTTACTCCCTATAATCCGTCACAGTTGAGAGCCTTCCATTTCAGATTAAACTAGGGGACCAGTGCTTTTGGGATGAGAGGAAGAGTGAAAGCACCCCGTGGAGCAGGATGACCTCAGCCTGATTTCAAATCACTTTGATAGATGGCATTACCAGCCGACACTCAAGCTGTTTCATCCGCTTATCTAAATACTTAGCCAAAGTCTAACAGCTTCGTTTGCTGGCAATCTTTGTTTTCCCCAGGCTGTTCATAAAAACTTTGCATCAGGCTGCTTGAACTCATCATTACAACACAGCTATGTGTCCAATTTAACCTTAATCCATGTCACATTTTACACTTCATCCTCAGTTAGCTAATGGACTTTCCTAATAAGTTAAACAACTGAGTTCTATTCCAAATAATCAGAGCAATTTCAAAGGGCAACAGACGATGATTATCAGTATGCTGCTGTGTGTCTCAGCACTGAATAGCTCTCAGACTGGAACCATAATGTTCCTGGATGGGGAAAAGGATACTAATTGCATTGTTGACAGAGATATGTATACACACAGTAACTCATGATGGCTAGGAACTGGACTTAAGTCTGTCAGAATAATAAGAAATGTCAATGCAGTGAACCTGGAAACTGGTGTTGTTGTGAGGTGCAGATTTAGGAAGAGGCTTGATGGTGGTGTCAGAAATAAAGAGTGGTTGACATTGTGATTGAGAGCTCATGCTGCAGTACTAACAATGTTTTCTTTTACTTTAAAACCTGAAAAGACTGATACACAGAAACACTTTAGAAACCGTGCATCCTCATTCCTTAGCTACAGAACAGGCTTTAGGGCTGGAAAAGATCTGGTATCTTGTTACAAGTAGCATTGAAACTGGCATCACTCTTGGTTGAAGGGTAAACTCTTTGTGCCGCTTTTCACCATTTTACAGCTACCAATGCAATTTCTACTTTCTAGGTCATCAAATGATAGAGAATTGCCCTAAATGATCCACAGTTTTTAGCCGTGCTAGCAGCAAGGCTAACATCCTACACTATGGACTATATAAACATTCCTTCTTCCCAGAGGATGAAGCCTACTGACTTTGATACTCCTATAATTTCTCCTTAGTGCCACCTTGAATGTTTATTTTTACTGAAAATAATTTAACTGCGGAGTTGTAATTCCTTGTGTTTACTGCTATTTAGCAAATGTTAGCGTGCTAACACACAAAACTAAAATTGGAAATATTATATGTACTAAACACTAGCTTGTTGCCATTGTCACTGTTTGCATGCTAATGTTAACATTCACCTCAGTGCACTGCTGTATCCAAGTATGGCCTCACAGTGATGTTAGAAAGGCTGCAGACTCTTGAAGTGTCTTGTTAACTCTGGATTTCTTTCAGGTTAGACCTGGGTAAGACCATAGGCTGTATGGGTAAGACCTTTGGACCTCACCTTGGCTAAACCATATATGTATATATATTTTTACAAGACCAGACTAAATCTTAAAACTGGTCATTATAAAGGATGATATATTACCAGCTGTATTTACAAAGCTGTCTTTGAAAATTTTTGACAATTACATGTTCCACATGTCCATATGCTCTTTAAGGAAGAAAATTCACACAAAGCCCAGTAAGCATTTGAGACTGAGCAACTGAAACAATTTGCAATAGACCAAGCCCTCATAGACCCTCAGCTCAGTTCAGTTATTGAGGTCAAGACATATACAGAGTGAGGATTATTTCTCTGAAATGCAACACTATTTAATCCTCTGAGAGTGGAATAGGAGGTTATGATAGATCAGATTTGCTGAAGATCAAACTGTTTACATTGGATATAAGGAGGTAATTCACAGTATCCCTTATGATGGACAGTCTGCTTGTTGAAGACCATTAGAAAATCATGTCAGTCCATACAAAGTGAGATCAGAGGGAGGTTTATGGACAGATTTCAACTAATGCAATATTAACATTCAATTTTTTCTTGATGAGGTTATGAGCAATATGATTTCACTGGTGACATTATATGCATGCAGATCATTTTGGGAAAGCTCTTGGCTGCCGGTTGAGTGGAGCTCAGATGAAATACAAGATGTAGTCAGACAGAAAAGCACTGAAATGTGGTGTTGCTCTGCCCTCTGCTGTACAAAATCAGCACAAGTGAAAACAGGCTATCTCAGAGTAATCAAGAGCAGGTTGAACATATAAAAGGCAATGAGCGAACATGATGGTAAGCTCTCAGTTGTGTTTAATATTTACTACTCACTACAGGGTCTATTAGCAGCTGTTAGAGCGTTCAACTGTATCACATGATGTTGTAATCCTGAAATCATGTTACGCAAAAATACTAACAGCCATGGAAGTGTTTTTGAAATTAATCTGTATTCTGTGCACTAATATTACCTATTTTATTATGTAATCTTTCATTACAACAATTTAATTCATCAATTCACCTCTCATTATAGGTTTGTTATGTCTAGCAACAACTGACTGGTAAACAAAATAAATAAATAAATGCACTTTACTTTAAAAATACCAATTTTTAAAATTAAATTTAAAATGTTTTGCATTTGAATATACTGAAAACTAGGTGCATTTTGAGATTGACAGTAAATTCTTGCCCCTAGTTGTTATGGTTTAGTCCCGCTCAGTAGGAGGGTGAGGGAGAACTGAGGTTGGACTCAAGAGTGCTGACCTAGGTGCTAGTAAAAAAGGAGGTTTAATGGTGCGCATCACAAAAAGGAACAGAGTTGAGGAACACATACAACCAGGGCTGAGCAAATATGGCTAAGGAGAACAGGATGACCAGGGGAGAAGACAGGCTAACAGCAAAAAACAGGAGAGTGAGGATAAACCAGGAGGACTGATGAACGAAAAAGAAATCCACAGCACTGGAACTGTCAGCGTGGCGGTCAAACGACGAGTATTAGGACCCCCTTAAATTTTTCACTCTGTTATATTGCAGCCATATGCTAAAATCATTTGTTCATTTTTTTCCTCATTAATGTACACACAGCACCCCATATTGACAGAGAAAAACAGAATTTTTGAAATTTTGACAGCTGTTTGCTGTGGCCAACTGAAGTGTGGTGGTGGGTCAGACCATCTATAAATGCCACTGCATGTAGCTGAAGATGAGCTCTGACAGATCCTTCACACTTGTACCCAGCAGGTTATGGGAAATCAATTGACTGAATCAAAACAGAGGAACTGTTATTTTAAGTTACTTTGAATCACAGCATAGATTCCCAAATAGGTAATCTTTAAAATATCTGTTAAGATGCTGAAATTGAGCTTTCATGTACAGACAACAGACATGTGGCTACTTGGGGTTTTTAAAGTTGTAACTGCTTTAGTAAAGGTTAAGAAGTCAGTTAGAGGCAGTCACAGTTTTTGGGTTGCCAGATTGCCTCTAATAATGCAGTTATACAGTGGGTACGGAAAGTATTCAGA